ATAATCATGTAAAGTAATGTATTCTTGACATGATTTTACAGTACTTTCATTAAATGTTACACATTTGAGATATCCTTGTGGAATATATCCTTTCAGTACATCCTAAACAATCTGAACGATATCCTTTCTCATCACAATATCCACATTCATCTGGTGTATAACATCCTGTTTTACATCCACCAATTAAACAAGATGGAACACATCCAACTGATTGAACATCATCTTCAGGAAAATAACCATCTTCACAGATACAATCTTTTCTACAATTACTTCCTCCATCACATTCTTCATCAAATCTTTGACGAATTCCATCACCACATTTACACATACAATGAGTAAAGAAAAGAACAAAAACTACTATTATCTTTTCCTTCATTTGATTGATTTTGTTGTTTTTTTCTTTTTTCTCTTTTCATTTTTTTATTTTATTTTATTCTAATGAAAGTTCATTTAACCAGTTTTCCCATTCTTTTCTCAGTTCTTTGATTCCTTTTTACAACATTAAAATGTTATGAACTAAAGTTTCAATTCTTTTTCTTATTTCACTCTATGAAATCAAATAACAAAAAAACTACCTTCTCTATCAGATGGTTCTTGTTTTTATCAATGGAATTATTCATCTTTATTAATTTGTTTGTTTTTCTTTGATACTTTGAGTTAAATACTTAATTTGAGGGAGTTTATAAGATGAAAACCAATTCTTAAGTATTAGACTTTCATATGAAATGTTTTTTGTGATTAGACTCTATTCATTTGTTTTGTTTTTAGACTTTTTAAACTAACTCTATGTACTATCATTACTGTAAGTTATCTTTTGACTTCTATCACTTCAAAAATGGTTTTACAAAAAAGACAATGTGGTATTAGTTTCAGCAAGTTTTTTCATTGGTTTGTTTTTCATCGTTAAGAATAGAAATGGATAAATAACTACTATAAACTCTGAAGATGTTTTCTTAATCTCTGGGATAGTTAAATTTCTTCTAAATCTAATATCTTTTTCTCTTTAGTGTTAAGATTGTTTTACTTTCTTCTTAATCTCAACTACCTTAGATATGAAATAGTTTATTTCAGTTTTTATTACAAACAGTTGTTATGTTTTTGATTTCATTGATTTATTTTATCAATTTTCAACATTGTTTCATTTCATTTTATCCAAAGATTAATTGTTAGAAATATCTGTTAATACTTCAACAATGCTATTCGATCTTTGATATCTATTAATTGAGTCATCAATGTTTATCATTGGATTAAATAATAACTATATTGTTATTTTATCTTTTGTTGTATTATTCATGTTTAAGTTTATTATCAATTATGTTATAACACAGCTTGTTCGTGTGTTTGTAGAATAGTTGTTAAACAATGAATTAAATGAAACAACACTTCTTCAAAATGAGATTACATCTTATTGAATATTGAAGAATGAAACCGTGTTCATAATAAATCTTATTAACAAACATTTATTATTTGATTATCTCTTATAATGATTAAAGTCAATGTTATATCTCTATCCAATTTAATTATTCATTTATAATTGAATATCTAATATTATTTATATCTATTATATTGTTTGTCAATTACAATATTCTTTGAATGAATCTATATAGATGTAGAGTACTACATTAACTATTAATACTTATTTATATTGTTAAATCACTTGTTGGTGTATTAATGTATTGATAAATTAGAATTAACGAAATAAAATAGAAAAGATGTTATTGACATTATGTAATTTTAATAATAAACATGGTTTTGATTTGATATCAAAAAGTTAAGAAACATTACATTTCTCATTAACAAGCACTATGAAATACTATACATACAAACTTTAATCGTGCTATTCCATAGTCATTTTATGGTAGTTGATAAAAATAGAAGATTACCAATTACAGAATTATTAGTATAAAAAGTTTTATTAGATTAACAAAACAAATAGTTTATGTTAGTTAAATGTGTTGAAAGAAGGAATAACCTTTTCATAATATTCATGAAGTATTGAATGTAGATATTCTTCAAGTGTCGAAAATGAAGAATAGAAAATAATTATAATCAAGTTGGAGTAAAATAAATTGGTGATTACTTACAAATCTTTAGAAGTAAATGATTGTTTAAAACATTAGTTTGTATTCTCATAAAAGACAAAAGAAATGTTCATAATTTTAATGAAAGGAATGATTAGTACATAATAATATTAGAGATTAATCAGTTTAAACAAATACATCAATCAATCATTTGATTGATATTTTATAGATATGTGTATTGATTATTATTTGATTTTAATCCTTTTTATTAAAAATTATCATTTGTTGTAGTAGTTCTTATTCAATTTATTTAAAATTAACTGAATAGATCAGTATTATTTCTCATTCATCAATAAAAATGTTAAATAAAATACTTAAACACTCTGATTATTTAAACAATGTTTAATATACTTTTTGATATTACTCTTGTTTTTTTTATTTTAAGAAATACCAGATAAATGGTTAAATAACTTTAAATAATGTATTAAGATGGTATTATTAATAAATAAAAAGAAAAGAGTGATTTAATGATTATAGAAATTAATTCGGTTTGTTCATTATTTATTGTTTATTTTAAACAAGTTAAATGTTTTAATGCAATTTATTGAATTACTATATTTTTGTGCTGGAATGGAAATTATTGGCTACGAAAAAAGGAAGAGAAATGATGAAAAAGAAGGACATGAAAGAAAAAAAGTGAAATTAAGAAGTAGAAGAAGATGAAAAGAATAAAAGAAGAATGTTGAGATTATAAAATGAAAGAAGATAAAAATGAATAATTCAAAATGAGAAAATAAATGATGAAAATAATGATGAAATAAATGATGCATTTTTTATTATAGAAATTAGAAATATGAAATAAAAAGTGTTTAATTTATTGATATAAATTATTTATCATTATTTTATTGATATAAATTATTTTATTCATTTTTATTTTTATAATTTTTATTTATATGTATTATTTATTATCTTTTTTCTTTTTAATATATTGATTATTTTATTTTATTATTTATTATTCTTTTATTTATTTTTCTCTATTCTTTTATTTGTTCATTTTTATTATATTTATGAAATATTTCAATATTATGAAATATTTTTATTGTTTAATTATTTAAATGATTTATATTAAAATGAATTTATTTTATATTTCATTGTTTTCTTTTATATTTATTTTATATTATTATTATCTTTATTGTTTCATATTTTTATTATTTATTATTATTATTATGTTTTCATTTCTTATTTTATTTTAATTTATTATTATGTTTATTTATATTTCTTTTCTTTCTTATTATTCTTCTTTATTCTTATTATTTCTTTATTTCTTATTTTTCTATTTTATTTATTTTCATTTGATTCATATTTTCATTTCTTGTTTTGATTATTTTGATTTGATTTAATTTTAATTTTTAATATTATTATATTTTTGATTATTAATATTTATTTATCATTTATTTATTATTTGTTTTTATTATTATCATTTGATTTATATTTATTATTTATTTCTTTTATTATCTTCGTTTTCTTTATTATTTATTATTTATATTA